AAGACAGCTAATGAACTGCTATTAATTAACTGCAATATATGTGCCCCCAACCCATGGGGAAAGCTAAAGTCAAATTTTAAGGGCAATTGATAAATATCATAATGCTTGCCATTTGAAGTAATAATAATAATACTTCCTTCACTTCTTAATTGAACTTAGTGACTAAATATATAATTGTCTCTCCTCTCCTCTCCGCTTCAACTCTAATGTGAATAATAAGCGATTGTTGGCTGGAAATACTGCACATTTGATGCAAAAGAACCAGCTTTTGTTCATAGTGAGGGCCGAATTGAGTGGGGGAATTTCTGGAGCCAATTATAACCTTATGTATGTCAACAAGTATGTTGACACTAGGGGGGGGGGGTTGAAAGTGGAGTATGTGCACTGGATGCAAGACGAATCAATGAGAAGTTAGGGTGTCTAGATGTACACAGCTTTAGATTGGTCATTCGCACACCTTGTAGACTTCCTTCATATCACTTCCATTTTCTTCCTCTTGCTCATTCCAAACCACCTTAAATCTGCCTTATTGCCCTAAAAAGGTCATTTTCCAATTTATAAATTAAAACTGAGCGACTATGACTGTCTTCCTATCTTCATGGCCTTGGTTCATATTACAGGTATCTCAGAGAAATTTATCATTGACGCTGTCAATTCTTGGTCAACTATTGCATAACCCTCCTCTTCCCATTGATTGGTTAATATATACATCTTTCCATTTTCTTCGGTCCTTTTATCGCTATGTCACGGCAATATTTTTAGCACCACATTTTTATTAAAATAAATGTTATGCACTCATTACCTGCAGAGGACTGAATATCGACTCGAATATAGACAAAATCTCTAATTAAAATACTACTTAATGTATGAGTTCTCCAACTTCCAAGTTAAGAGTCTACAAAGTATTCGCAACCCTATAAGGCTTTCCAGTTTTAGTCTTTTTCTGCTACCTACCCAGAATTACCAGATCTACAGAGTCCTTGGGGAGTATCAGTTTGAAGGATTCACCCTATTCCATGTACATCGAACAAGGAATTGTGCACAAAACCCGGATAAGCTGAAATATGCCACTTCAACGAAGTCTATTATCCAGTTCATAAAAGAGTGAGTTTTTTTCTATATTTATTTGACTATTCTATTTGCCTATCTATGTGAAATTATTAATACGGACAGCTTTCTCCAAATTGTACAAAATAACCCGTCGACTTCTTAACCGGAGCAGAAACATAGCCCAATTTTAGGCGATTGAGTTATGGACATGTAATAAGTGCAGAAAGAGGTTACCGTAACAAACGCAGCACAAAAAGTCGAGTTTCTAGTGAGGAGAAGTCATCATTGTTAAAGCAAGAATTTTATCTGAGATGCAGACAAACCCATACAAATGCATGGGATTTACCGACATGCGAACAAGCATAGCAATCAACACCCAAAATATATTCTAAACACTTATCAGTTAGCAATTGTAAAAAAAGCTTGATACAAAGAATCGTAAGAACAAATATAAAAAATGAGAAGTTAAAATCACAGAATTGCGGAATAAATCTGTAAATTCATTTTCCCGAAGGTTGATTCTTCTCTCCTTCTGAGTTCTGTAAGTGTTTAACCTTCTCGTACTGACTGACATCCCTAGTGATCCCATAGGGGTAGACGTGGTAAACGAGAAACTCCAGAACGTACATTTCAAAAGGACTAATATAATGGAAAGACACTGTGTGATCGCTGCAACAGTCCAGACCCTATATAAATAAAGTAATACAAAGTTAAACGGCTATTGAAGTTATTATTAATGGAAAATTTAATGAATACAGCTATATTCAGGAGACGTGTTTAGTAAAACTAGATAATCGACAACTTTCTAAACGTCATCAGCTAAATTTGTTTAATAAAGGAGCTGAGAGAAATCAGATAACTCAACAGAGAGATTCAATAATGATCAGAAAACGCTCTTCCAAACGGGCTTAGGAATTATTAATGTTGTTTGCAAATATTTGAAGATGTGGGTATATGAGGGGGTCGAATGGGTCTATGATGATAGCCACTAATGGAAATTGAAGCTTTTATTCAGAAAAATGATTAGAAAGGACGGTCATCTACCAACGGATGCAACATTAGAAGTGAGTGCACACGAATTAAAATCAAGCAGGAATGGAATAGTGATTCATGCCAATATTATGAAAATGGCGTGATCGATAAAAGCTACCTTAATGAAGCATTGAATTCATTACGTGTACGGCCGAGCCCTATCGAGAAAATTTTAGTCAGCTCGAAGAGTTTGGTACTCTTGAGGAAAAGAATAAAATAACCCTCACAAATGGAATAAGAGGCCAACTGAGAATGCTCAGTAAATAAGTAAAAAACCATGCTATTCCAATATACCTAAAGTGTGAGTAAATCCAATACAAGCCAACCGTATGTGGAAAAAGAGCCCGCATGCAGTGAAGACCTAGACAAATCAACGAATACATCAAGGAGGATACGTGGAAGAAGCGAAGGAAAGAACAATTGAAAGAAATTACTGCTCAATAAACGTAACAATCAGTACAGAATCCAAGCACCCAATTACTGTACACATTGAGCCTTACGAGAATGATCAAATCGTCCTCCAATCACTCAAATTCTACTTCCCTTTGCAAAGTTACCACGACAAAAGTAGCGCATAAAATTTTCTAAGTAATACAATATGTAATCGATTATAACGTGCAGAGTAATTACCGTTTTGACAGGGAAAAAATTATATGAATGAATCCAGGAGATCTTATCCATTCTCGCCTTGTTCAACATAGTGGCAGGAGGAAATGGATGGAACACTTCTTGTTGGTGTTCATCCAAACTGTCAAGTAGTTTCACACCAACGGCTTCTGCACATTCACCTGAGAAGATTGAAGAAAATTATGAAATAAAAGCAATCGTATGATACCGAACTTTCATATTGCCATGTAAAGTTAATATTCTGATGGGCAATTCTGTCTTTTATATTCAAGCGAATGAAAGATTAGTACCCATCCATTTCACTGTTTCTCATAGTTACAGCAGTCAAATTAATTTACAAACACATTCTCTCGAACACTTATCTTGTGCAGAGGAGCAATTACTCTCATACACTAATTGTGGATGCGCGGTTAATGTATAAGTGGATTCACATAATAGACTCACCACATTCAATTAAAACGTACTCGTTCGACCTCGTGAGAGCACTTCCGATTAAAACAACGACAATTAATCATAGCGAAAAGCAGGGGAAACGGCAAAATTGGTACATTGAATAGATTTATTGAGAAAGGGAGAGAACAAAGTGCAGTGCATTGATTAATCAAGAGATGAGAAGACAACCAATGCAATCCCGAGCACTCAGAGCGTATCAACAAACAGACCAACATAATAGAACTCGATAGGAGGGGTAGTTAATAGCAAAATTTTATTAAAAGTGGAAAATTTGTGAAAGAAAGTAAGTTTACAAAAAAGTAATAACCCACCAAGATTTACGTCCTCGGCTCCATAACGCTTCATGCAACCCTTGGTTTCTTTAATCATACCCTCAGCGATAAGCCTCAAGGCAGCTCGCGAAAGCACATAGCCAGCACCACCAGATGTATAGCCCTGCTTGACAAAAGTCTAAAAGTAGGGAAAAAAGAACGCCAAGCCATCATGGAAGGCGAATGATGCGAAATCTCAAGAAGACTGAAACAGATATATTGCGAAAGCATGAGCGCTAGCAAACGAACTAACATGGACTAATGAGATGGCGAAGGCAGAACCCAAAATGGGATGATGGGCGCACTTTTTTGCACCTCTGCACATTTAAATGCTCACTGTTTCAGGTTTCCATATTTCATAGCCTTATTGTGAGCTCTGTTGAGTTAAAACATTTTAGTTATTGGATATCAAAAAATAGAATGATATTAAAAAATAACAAGATCAACAACACAATTTAATCGGTAGGTCAGTAGTCTTTGCACACAACGGACACACTTGTAACCCAGGGGTTAAACCTGAATTTGAAATATTATAACTTAATGCAGAGAAGATTATTTGATGCAGAATATTTTAAGTTTATTTAGCTCCACGTTCTTAAGATTGTAACACGCAAGGCGTATGCTGGTTCAAGTGGAAGATATTTCAGGAATAAATGAAAACACATAGGGTGTGTTTTAGGGTGCTAAAGCAGAATTGCACTAATTGGCGCAAGATTACTATAATTATAGAAATTCTTAATCAATTTTCCAAAACATTCACGCACCCAGAGGCATTACCTATGGGTTTGATATTCTTTCATTCAGCAAACTATTACCAGTTTCACTTAGTTGCAATAGTCTAACCGCGTTATTCACCACCATTATTTTCTAATATCTTTTTTTTCCAGATTTCTGACTTTCATGTGCACTTCTGCATTTTGGACCCCAATCACTTACCTTAGTCAATTGGTAACGACATCACTCACACCACTCCACTTTACCTGCAGGAAATGCTGCATTGCAGAATCTCGCTCCAGTCACTTGGGTCGGGCTAAATTAGCTTAGCTCACTTGCACTGGCCAACTACAATCCACACTAAGCTAAAACTCATCCCCGTATTATGCACCTGAGTACTGTTCCTGCCTGCACTTCTTGTGGTTATATATCAAAAATATTAACAACTTACCTTAAATCGTCTGCCCATAAGAAATGGCTCATCGGGATTTTTCTCAGCCAAGAGGTAGCGCAGATTCTCAACAATCACAAAGGTGTCATCATCTGCTTTCATGAAGTATTCATAATTGTCAATTTCAGTATGGTAGGCGTGAATAAATCCATGACGAGTCTTCTCCCAAAGATGTTGCCGGCCCTCAGTTTCAACAGCACCTATTTAGAAAAGCGAAAGGCAGATTATAACCAAAACTTTGGGCCAAAAAAAACAGTCAGTTGCTTCCATTTCCTCTTGGCTGTACCAAAGAGAAAACAAATGAATGCAAACCGACCAACATGCTCCGACTATTGTGGACGAAACTAAGGCCTTAATACAGAAACACAATACATCTCAATGTCAGCATTGGCATTCCAACCTCGTCATTTGCTTCACTCCGATACCCTACCTCTTCGACCTATTGAGACTTTTATGTTGTAAGGTCATGAAAGGAAAGAAATTGTAAAGAAAATAACGATAAAGCTAAGTTGTACTTAATATATTTTTGTCAGATCCAAAAAATGGACGAACGAAAACTAACCTAAAATAATGCAAAAAAACGAAGGTGAAGGTGACACTTCATGTCGAAAACTCATTCCCATCCGAAGGGGGTATCTCAAGAAAAATGAAAATGCAAGGAACATGAGATACGATTCTTAACTCGAGAATCAGAAAAAAAAATATTTGTTTTTTTAGGATTGAAATGAAAATACTCGTCTGAGAACACGGGTTCGATGCCCACAGTTGCACACCTAGCAGATGAAATGGGAAATCGCGTTGTTTAAGTTCGGCAAGATTCAAGAGGTTTCGCAATGTCACTCTAATACTCGAGTTGATCTTTAAAAAACACTAATTGAGTTTGAGAGTGGTTGCAATATAAACAGGATTGGAAGCCTATATACCCCATAAATATAACCAATTTTGGAAATTGAAGAATCAGTTTACACATACCCCCCATGTCCAAAAGATGGCTAAGAAGGGGTGCAGAACCAAACAGATCGGCTGAAAACCGAGGAGGCTATTCACTTCAGAAAGTGAATTTAAATTAGCGACAACATTTTAATGATAAAGTATAATATGTATTTAAACATTTATTTATTTATATCAAATGGCAGGCGTTCTGGCAGTTTTTATTAGCTCTTTAGCTGACTTCAGGCTTCGCAGAGGGGGAGGAATATCAAAATGGAAAAAAATTGGAGGGGGGAGTAAAAGAGACAGACACTAAGGTAGAAAAAAAGATGAGGTGAGTACTGTGGAAGTAGTTGAATATGACATACAGTGGGGGTGATGGCAGTTTGAAGTGAGAAGTCAACTGCCGATTAATATACTTTTTTTGGAGTATGAGTATACGTTGCCCAGGGTTCACCACGTGGAGATAAGTCTATCGCACACCCCGAATATATTTAAGCATAAAATCAAGGAAACGAGTTACGTATTTATTAGTTTCATTATTTATAAATTATAAATAATTGCTAAAATATACAAAAATTGGGTGTGTCTTTGCTTGACATAATCCTGGAATAAATGGAGAAAGTTAGTCCAATCCTCTGTTACCATTCACTCCGAGGACTTGGGGCTATTTGGACAATTCGTGAGACAAAAACTGAATTAATGTAGAATTAAAGGGGACGATAATTTGCAAATGACATCCATACATCTTGATTTTATTTATCGTGTCAAAAGGGAGTCCAAATTAAAAATTTTCCCCAAACACTTGCCATGAGAGTGGTAAAAGGTGAGCAATCATCAAACAATAATTAAAATATGATATAATAGAGATGAGATGAACTATTCGTTAAGTGGATAAAATAGCGTGCTACTTTTATACAATTAAATAGCAAAAGTAAGAAGGAGCAAAACTCGAAGAATGCTAAATTATATAACTAAACTTGCCCTATTTTTCAATAGGAGAGGTTTAAGGGATAACAAATGAGAAAATAAGCTTGAGATAAAATACAATAAGATAAATATAATGTGGTAAAATGCTGCAATACAACAAAAAAGCTAACAAGAAATGCTACTTAGAATTTCAAGAAAGATTAAGAGGCGGAGTGAGAAAGCAAGCCTGAGCATGAGCAGTTCCATAAAAAACAGTGCAAGGCGGAGAAAATCCTATAATTGGCTTCGTAAAACGCGGCACAGTAGACTAAGATCTCAGAATTTTAAGTTAAGTCGAGTTCAATTAACCAATGAGATAGCAAATCATAGTTTTTTATGCCAATTAGTGGTTAAATAATTGCTCTGCACATCGAAATAACGCTGTTGGCAATGTCACTAGAGTCTAAATTTATCACTTAAGTCTCAAATTTAAAAAAAATAATGTTTAAATGGCTAGCACAATTACAAAAGGCAAGCGAATTCGTACTCGAAAATCGCTGTTAAAAAAGAAAGCTACAGTCTAACAGAATAGGCTCAAACAGTAAGTGCAGATTAGCATTTCGAGATATATCGAAAAATATTGGGCTGTTAGTTGGAAATCATCAACATTCCTTCAACCAAACTCCACTTTGAAAGCGGACAAGCAATATGTTGGAAACTTTGCACCTGAGCATGAAAGATATAACAATGAGCTAATATTAACTAATATTTTCGCGTGGTTGTCTGCAAACTGATAGTGGGTAATTGGACACATGGCAGTTGGTTAAAATTAATACATTTCAGGCTAATTTATGCTTTTGAATACTAGCTACTCTAATTGATTAGAAAACAGAAATGATATGCCTCATAAAATCACATAAAACAAAGTGGGACAATTACTTATTGATAAAGGAATTAATTGAACACGTATTGGTTTTAGATATAGGTAGATCCACACTTAAAGAAGGTACTTCCATTTAATCGACCCTGAAAATTGCGGCAAATCAACAAAACAATGCAGATTTTTTAGATCTAATTACTACGCCCCAATTTAATAAGTCCAAGAGATCGTCAGAAAAAGGAAAATTAACTTTAAGTTAAAAACAATTTAAAATATTAAGAAAAATATCTCGCAAAAACTAACTAATAGAAGGCAGATCCTTGTCATCTTCGGAGCTGACAAAAATATAACCATCGAAACGTCGAGCCCATGTAGTCTTCACGGGGATAGCTTTGGACATTTTATTTTTCGGCGAGGTTAGGATGAAAACGAACAATCGTATTTTTTTGGCAAGATCAGCAGCAAGTACATCTTCGCCTAAAAATATAGAGAGTATATTGAATTATATAATTTAAGAGGGAGACATTTAATACCATTGCATTTGATCGAAAGGTACCTTCATGGTGACCGGTTTCAGGATCATTATGAAATTTCTGTGGTAGAACAGGGAGATCCAATTGAGACAGACCTCTAACTATTAATTTTTCCGAATTTCGACGGGCATCTAGAATCCAGAAAGTAAACATGCCCACAAGGACACCAAAAAAGAAAATTCTGAGAGGTGACTTCCACATCAAATTCATATTCAATTTCTAAAAGAGAAAACATTCGAGCATTTTAAATCATATAAATATATCTATATACATAACCACAAAATTGGAATTAAGACACACGCATTCTATATGAATAAGAAAATCATATTGCGTAAATAAATGTTAAGAAACGGATTATCAGTAAATTAAGTAAACGCATAAAAACCGCCCAAGGCAGAGTAAACTATGCAGCAACAAATAATCTCGCACCTTTCGCGGGCTAAAAATGATAAATATGGAATGTCTTGAATTGGCCTTCTGAAGGTTGATGCCAATTATGAGCTAATTCGAAACTAGATTATATTTCAGAATTTAGGACAATGTGTGATATACACTTTTGGCTCAAAAATAATGTAATTTTGAATCAGTAAATGGGTATACAAGTTTTATTAAGACTTTGCTAATGCATCATGTTTTGCAGAAAAATCGATATTTTTCCTAAAAATCCTAAATTCTTTAACAAACACCTTATATTCCCCCCTCTGAAATAAAGGCTTGCATGCAAGCCAAGCGTTAATGTAATTGTTTATTATATATGTTTGCAACTTTTCTACAAAGACCATGGAACTGACGGTTTGAGAGTCCGACATGGATTGCATTAATTATATTACTGTTAGAGTAAAGAGACGGGGATAAGCGCATAGAAGATATTAGTGAAATCGACACAAAGAAATATGAAGAACTTTGATAAGTGTATCTGCGCCCGTTTATGCCGTAAATATGGATCATACAGGCCATCTTGTCCTCTTCGAAGTTCGGCTTGATTTTCCTTATTCACGTCATCTGTTCTTGTCCCGCCAATCTTCAGATAGACGTGGTCAGGAATTTTAAATTTACCTCCGGTTTCCTATAAATTTATGTATCATATTTAAATCTCAGCATGAATTTTTGCAAATGCTTTTCCTCTTTCTCCTCAAATTTCTATAATATATATGGTTATTCGTATATACAATCACTAAATTGAGGTAAATTGGTATTTTAGAATCACCCTTTGTATAGCTGTCATTTATTGATTTAACATATTGCAAGGCTCAATATTTGGTCCATAAACCCTATTTGGCAATACCTTAAAATTGATGCTCTTCCAAAATTTGATTCAGTTATCAAGTCGCAAAAACCCCTCGCCTTCTAAGCTCACTTTACTTCTTGCTCATTATTATTCGCAGATGATTGTTCCTTTCAAATTCTATTTGTACCCCCACCCCATTTCTTCATCTCCCTTTTAATCCACTAACCTATTTTTTCTAGTATCGCAACGCACGGAAGAGGGAGGACCCTAAATATTCACTGCACTATCTTAGACCGCTTTAAGTAAGGCTGAACACAGCAAGGAATTTCACAAGGCAGGAAAGAATTTCACAGCTTTAACTTACAAAATTAGGTTGCCATCCACGGCTCAGATCATACTGCAAAAGATCGTTGTTTTGCCAAACTGATTGTGCTCAAATTATCATATAAGCTAATACACCTTCCTGCAATTTTCCAAGTAACATCTCTTTATTCCCTAATCAAATAATTTACTCTCCAAAGAAAATTCAGGGAAACGAAGCAATTGATTTATCACAGTTAATAAAAAAATATATTTTCTACGAAATATTACAGAACTCTGCTAGATCCATAGGGTCTAACATTCAGAGTGTACACAGTTTGCGCATTATTGCCAAACACCTTTCGTTTATCCTCAATTGCACCAAAGCCCGCTTCTTCCATGCAATGCTCTACAAGTCGTGCTGCCTCCCAAACAGAGAGTTCCCTCTGTGCAACTGCCTGACCTCGGTACCCCTTTACAGGGGGCCCCGAAATTCTCGCATGCTTCTTCGCAGCAACTAGGGCCCCTCCTGTTCCACTATCATTCCAACCAGTAACCGCAGGAGCAACAACACGACATATGGGCCATCCCGAGCCGAATAGACATCTCTCCGGTCCGAAAAACCCAATTGCCTGTGTCAACACATTCTTCGGGCTCCATTCCTTCTCCTCTACATTTCCATCCTTATCTGATGACACGATCTTCCCTGAAGTGGCGGTTAACTTGCAGTAGACATTTGGGTACCTACTCAAGTACTCTAGATCCGCCTTCCATTGAGCAATATTGATTTCTTCATCGGGATGTGTGGAAGTGTATTCCAAGGGAAGACCACAATGATTGAGGACTAGCTTGAGACGAGGGTGTTTGTAGGCGAGGTGACAAGCATGCCGGAGTTGATGGGGACCGATGGCAAGGTCAAAGGGCATGTTGTTCTGCTCAATTGCAGAGAAGGCACTTTCTGTGTCGGGATCGATGAGGACGTTGGCATCGGTGTTGGTGACATCGTGGCGCAGGCCAACAAGGAAGGGATCTAGCATGAGAGTCCGAAGACGTTGTGCCAGGCCACTGTCGTGAAGATCAACCCAACCGATATGACCTGCGAGATAGTAGTATTCGTCTGCAAAGGAGGATATCACCATATTCTCTTGATAGGTCGGAGTGGACTAAAATAGAAAAGGATAACATTTATTGCACCTAATTATTTCACTTAATTTTATTCATAACGCACAAAGATATAGACAAAGATTGTAGTCTAAAAATATTTTTGCGAATTGTAATAATGCGCATTTTTATCCAATAGCATACCTTAAGAACAGAGAGGAGAAGGTCCAGATCAATCAAATATTTGTCTCAATTTATTAATTAAACACTTTATTAGTAATGGAAAAATGATCGTAGACGAAATTTCTTTAGGGGTGATATAGACTTGGAAGGATTCGAGTGAGATAAACAAGAAACCATTCAATCCTATTAGAGACAAAGACACTGTGAGAGGCTTAAGTGAAATCAAATATAAATTTGCAAGATGTCTGGAAAAGCAATCATAAAAGAGACGAGGCCCCTAGGCGATGGCAGATGTGACCGATGTTATAACATTCAGTTGTCTGTTTCCTAAGCTTTAAACCTTATCTTGAGTTTCAAATACCAGCAAGTATAGCACGAATATTTACCTAAGCGATATAAAGTAAATGGCACAAACGAAAGGTCTTTTAGTAATGAATTTTTGCTTTTCATTTTGAATGCATTTCAATTATGACGAGAGTTCATTTAAAATTGATGCAAAATAAAAGGATAACAAAATCTCATGGTCCAAGTCGCACATGAATGTCTACAGAAAAGAAATTGCTGGAAGTGAAGAAGAAGAAGAAGAAATGAAGAAAAAATGCTTCTAAACGTCCCATTTATGGAAGTATCGTATGTTACAAATAACAGGGGAAAAGCTAATGCGGCTAAAGTATGAATACCTGACGGTCAAGTTTGAAAAGTGCTCAAAATAAGAATTTAGTGAGAGCAGTGGGAAGAATAAATCCCATCGCAAATATATCGGTTGCGAAGACAATAAGGATAAGTAGATAATAGCATGACAAATAAAGCGCATCGCTTTCCCATGTATTTACAAAAAATTCCATAGCGAAAAAAAGCGTAAATAATCATCTTACCTGAACATGAATGGCGTACTGAACCGGCGATAATTCACCAATCCCCTCTTTCAATTCCGCACTAGCCCGATGTTTCATCTCAAACAAATCCTCCTCATACATATCTGGATTGAAGTCCCTATTGAGAACACTCCTAGCACTCCCCAGTCGCCATTTTGCATCCCCAGGCAACTGCACACCCTCATAGATGTCTCCATGATTTCGAGACAGTGACCAGAGCTGGAAATGGGAGTCAATATACTGAGGAGTCAGAGGAACCCAGGCTGATGAGGCTGCAGCAATGGCCTCCTTTTCTGCAGTCTCAAAATCGGCCACCTCGTTGTCTATAATGGCCTCTTCCTCGGCTACCAATTCGTGGAGAGAACGCTTGTCTCGTCGACGGAATGTCTCTTCATATTCACTACGGGTCATGGGGCCCGTGACGTTCGTGCTGTTAGGATCCCGAGAAGCCATTGTGACTAAAGAGGATGGGAGGGTGGTCAATAATCGATTCACAACAATAACATTCAAGCAATGCTGATACTATCAAATGAACCAAATGAAACATTTAGCCATTTAACATATAGCCTAACAGATTTAATAAGATCACCGAATTTATAGAGAAATACCTATCAACCTGGAGGGAGCGATCAAATATATATTATATACAATCGAGCACTAAGAGCAAAACCCATTCTATATAGAAGTGTTACAACGCACACTACTCGAAAATAGGGGGCGAATGGAAGAGCGGTGAGAGGGGAGTTAGTAGAAAGACAAAGCCAATGGGCGATGACCAAGAAGAGAATTTAAGTAACATTCTGCAAGCAGCGATTTAATAAATTTAATGGGAATCCGCGGTACCAATAAAGACAATTTATTTCAATGGGCGACAGGGAAGCAGAGCAAAATATTTTTTGAAAATATTTATTGACCAGTGGTCAATCAAGTTTCAAGTTATGGAAAGATTTTATTGCCATAGCTCAGTAGACTGCCGTAAATGATCAATGGGAATTGTCTCGAGTGGATAATATGACGACTGGATAATGCCTCGAATAGATTGAAAATGAAGCAATAATAGAAGTAGAACCACAATATCAACAAGTAAAATAATTAACAACCACGTGGTCATTCTTCCTCAATGTCTAATCCAATTTCAAACTGATATGTTAACACTATAAACTAGCAAGACCTTGGATACCCTGTCAAAAGCATTAATACGAGCACCGACAGGCGGAATATGTGGACACCTTAGTGTTAGTAGTGAATTCAGTGATGGAAATATCATTGGATAAGTACCAAACCTTAACTTGATCAAAATCAAAATATTAAAACCGACATACTCAAAAATCTTAACTACTCAATTCGGTGGAAACGATTCGCAGTTAAATAAGTAGCACAGAAATTTATTCAATAAAATATAAGTACCGAATGAGAGTAGGAATATTATTCGCGTCAAATCATGCTGAAAGTATCTTCCATTTATTAGCCTTTCGAAAACTAGAGCATACTAGCCAAACACAGGCATTCATCACAAACAAGCAAAAGCACAGCAAGATAACAAAAGACTGTTTTGCAAACACGTTAAGTACATTACAATTATTCTTAAGAATGGTATGAAAAAGATGAGCACAAATACATAGAGGAAGTGACAAAAAAACCCACCTCCTTCTCCTCCACAAATCTTATTACAAGGGAGGGGGGAATGGGGCCATATATATGTATATACGTGCGGGTATGTACAAAAAAGGAAAAGAAAAAACACATAATGGGGGATCACGTTCTTAGGAGGCACTGGTCGTAGTGACAAAGGCAGTAGTAGTAGCAGGGACAACTTTCGGCTGTACAGGCAAAGCCATAAGTTGATCAGGTGGCAGTGTCCTATAGGATTTAACACTCTGGAAACGACCCGTTGCATAGTCAAGGAGTAGGAAGGTATCTACAGCAACCTCCATGGGATTACCACTCTCTTTATCAATAACTCTTTCTCGATATTCTGAAAGGCGAATGCGTTGAACTGTTCCGCTTTCGGGCTGTGGGTTAACTATAAAGTTGAAAAATGGGATAAATCTTGAACAAAGAGGATCAGCGGAGCTATGCTCAACCTACAGCCAACTTACCAGCTTTTCCACTGATAAAGGAGAGGATGGTAGCCTTATCGAGCCTTGAAAGGCGATTAGCACCTTGAAATAGGGATTGGATTGATGTAACCTGAGTGGGAGTGAGATTTAGGCCCTCTCTTGACAACGGCTGTGTTATCAAAGTAGTAGGTTGGGACAAAATCTGTTTCTGTACTGTAGTTTGCCCCGTAATTGGTACAAGGGGAGGCCTAGGAATTATCCTAGTATACTAAATAAAGAAGGAGAGCAACGTGAGCATAAAAGGAAGCAATAGGAGACATTCACATATCTTCATCTCTCCAATTTATTATCCAAAACGCAGCCATTTCGATATCATCTTCAATCATCACTCTCTTCGATGTTCCCTTTCGTTCTTCAATATAACGCTATAAAATCAGGCCGAAAATCAACGACCAAAGCACAAAAAATAACTTGTCGATTAGACATGATGGTTTGTGAAAAGAATCGGCCGAAAACAACTCCTGGTGGGCAAATTTGGAAAATGTAGAAGTAATTGGTACAAAGGCTCGAGAAATAGACATCTGATAAAGACCAAGCACAATTTATTTACCAAGATAATCAGAATTGGAAAACGTAATTGCACGCTTGGATAAACACAGAGAGCAATTGGGTTTATAAATAGCCATTAATTAAGAACAGGGAACTAGCAGGTGAACGAACGTGGCAGCAATAGCATCAGTTACACATTAAGCACTATTTAGATTGAAAACCAGCCAGACGCAATCGAACCCATTGCATTTGATTTGTACAGAGTGATCAAATTGAACATCTGACAAATAATGTGCCATGAAAATCTTGCTTATGAGCTCATATTCAGTAACATGAATGGCAAATAGTGATGGCCCATCAAAAGAGCAGCACCGAGATATCTTCCCCTTATCCTATTCAATTGGAACAACCATTTTCTAGGATGTGTTTGGTAAGTTCAATTTCTAATTAGAAAGATAAGTGGAGAACAAGAACGATGCACCAAATGGTATTGAAAAATTGTATTCGACTCCTAATTGTGAAGCAATACAAGTAGGTCCCGTTAAAGTGGTCAATAGTGCTGAAAATTAAGCACTTACTCTGAATTAACATTAAATATAGACATAGTACTGCTTCAATGGTTCTTTTCAGGTGCTTTAAGGCCTAAAAGTAAAATGCCATATAACTAAGGCATAAAACTAAACCCTACTAGTTAAGCCTGACTGGATTCAAATCGAGCGACAGAGAACCTCAACGACGCCATCTTCTACTTGAGATACGTTTTAGAAAATGTTTTGTAGGTGGCTGGGAGTAACAAACTGTTTTAAGTTACACTTTAATGAAAAAGAACCACCATTAGGGTTTGATTCGGAGAGGGAACAAAAAAAACGCAAAAATTATCATTAAAACTTTATTTCAAAAATAAACAGACAACACACAGACAGTTCCAATCCAAAAAATACGATTTCACAGACACACCGGTACAAGAGAATGACGAAAAACCTGAGCAATTGATTTTCAAATCAGCAGGCTTAAACTATACAAAGCGACACACAAAGAATAATCTAAAACTCAGCTTGACTTCACACGTATATACAATATGTAAATTATTCATACTTTTAATCACCACGCGAAAAAGATTCTGGAGTCTAGGGAATAAATTTAAAAAACTTTACAAACCCCTTGCTGATGCTGTTGACTCTGGGCATTTTGACCAGCTGGCGCAACTGGACGTAGGCCAGAATTAGCAACAATAATTCTTGGTTGGGGTTGGAGCCCAGATGCAACAGTAACACTGCCAGTTGAAACAGGAGGCAAAATAATTGGAACTGGTGTATTCGGCCTTGCTACTGATGTGATATTAGTAGTAGTTGCTGTTGAAGTAGGCGTAGCCGTTGAAAGGGGCGTCCGTGGACGGATTTGGATAAGCTGAGAAAAATAAACAAAATCCTAATTTCCTAAATTTCATAGCTGTTTAAGCCAGTAAAATAACTCACTCTAGGTTGAAGTCGAGGTGTCTGGGCAATGGGTACTTGGGGTAAAGAGGAAGAAATAACAAAAGTCGCGGTCTGTTGGGGCTGTGCTTGAGGGGTACTGGAGACGGGTGCCAGATTTGGGGATCGTATAATAATAGGTTGGGGAGCACCGGGTGTCGTTTGTACGTGAGTGGGATTTGCTGCCATGTGAATACGCTAAAAAAGAGACGATAAGAATATAACCAATTTGTACTTAAAAGAACTACGAGATTAATTAATTGAAATGGCTCACATTTAGGGAAATGACAAAAGTTAAGCTTAAGAAATGCACTTATTTTAAAATATTCGAAATAAATCCGTAGTTTCTATAAACCAATCATGGGAAGCGTTAACGACAGCCTGGCTAGAAAATTTATCCTGTAACTGCACTTGTTGACTAGAATAAACTAGGACGGATAGCTATTCCACATCACTGGATCTGCACCCATCTCGTGACCTCGAGTAGACAGATAGCGAGACTTATGTCCAACACAAAGTTAAAACCTTAGACTTAAAGGCGACTATTTTGATAAGAACTGAAAGATCAATTTAAGAAAATTGTGCATGAAAAGTAAGGATCTTAATCGTAAGTACTTTGATAATATAGGCAAAATTTACTTTTATAAGAAAAAAGGGTTAATCCCAAGAAGCTAATAATGAAAATAGAAAAGTAATATCTCTTGGAACATAAATTATGACAGCATTTATTGTAGAGACTATCGGGAGAATATTCCACTAGATAGGAGTAGGTAGATTGTTACCCAGACATCTTCTATGGCGCAAAAAGTAGTTATCACTAGAAGCTTAAGAGTTCGATTGTATTACAGTTCGCTCATCTTTAAACAAATTATCATGCCTGCACAAGGAAAAAATATAAACTGGCCAGTATCAGCTAAGTGATCTTGCCTATAAGAGTCGCATTAAAAATTTAAAAGAAAAGACCTTCCAACTTCCTGCATTTGTTTTCTGCTTCTACTTGAATCCCCACGTTCCTGTGTTTAGATGTTTCCTTCGAATGGTAATAACACTAAAGACCTAGCTGACGAAATACATTGTTTTGAAAATTATTTTCTCAATAGACGACCAAATGAAAACTACACAGACCTGACACAAAATAGAAAATCTCTAAAAACAGCCTATTCAGCAGAGCACTTCGTTAAATGAAAAACAGATAATGGCAGTAACGCGCGTAAGTGAGGCAGCGATCAAAACGCAAGCTAATTCAGAAAAGACATGACCAATTACAGTATAATTTCTCATTAAAATTATTTAGAATACACGATAAGTCGTTTGAGCATGTTTTGCTCCTATGGATTTTGGGTATATGGTTATTTGATTCAATGATAACAAAAAGCAAGTTGGCTTAAGCTACCACCGTTTACCATAATTGTATGCATGGTTAGAAATAGGAAGCCTTAAGTCAACTTGACCATAAGGACATCGAGAAATAAACGATTGTCAATTGTCTCAAATCAGAGCAACAACAATATTTCCTTTACCAACAATAAGTACTCTTTTAAGTAGAAACAGAAAATCAAAATTATAAGTAAATGGCATCGTTTGATGAATGCGCATGTGATGCAGACAATACCATTTAGCAAAATGTCTTTAAATACGTGGCCAATCACTGTGTGTTCCAGATTTAACTAGTATAATCAACAATTGTGCTCATTGGGTTTGCACCAATGAATATCAGGCAAATGACCTCAATTTTCGCAGACGAATACGTTATAACATTATAACAATGAGAATGGCTCTATTTATCCTCAGAAAATCAAGTTGGCTAAATGAAACACTCGTGTATTATACAAAGAAATGTAAAAAGTATCAACTTACAGCACCAGGATTCGCAATAATAACGGTCGGCTGTTGGGATTGAGCAGTTTGTTGTTGCTGAGCAGCTGCGGCAGCAGTATTTGCCAAGGTAATTAATCCATCTCCCATGTGTACATAACGCTGCTGTTGCTGTCCAGACACTTCAACAGTAACAGTAGCTCTGTTGCCTTCCTGCTGTTGAGGCATCGTTGAAGACACAGACGACGCTTGGATTACATTGACAGGCATCGATGTTGAGGTCGATGTTGACCAAGGTCGCACAAGCCGGAAACGCGGTTGAACTTGCTGCTGACTGAACATCTGGGAGATTAGTTGGCTACTGGTGCCAGAGATATTGACAGGAACACCACCTGTGCGTTGTAAGAGAATTGTGGCACCACCCTGCTGTTGCTGGCGGACTGCTGGGATTGTAGTTGAGGGAAGGACTTCCGAAAAACCCCTACATGAAAGAAGAGCATAATGTATACGGAGTAGAAACGGGAGGTCGATGAAGAGGAATCTGATTCCGACTTCAACGTTTTCACTTGTGAGGTTGGTTATTCATATTAGTAAACATGAATCGAGCAGGATGTGAAAAATTGACAACTAGCCCCCCGTACAACATATTATATACTAGCGAAGTGTTATCATTTTTTAACAGGCTCCCAAATTAATGTATACTACATACCCTGCAGAGTACGTCACAGAAATTCTGAGGCATCTTTCAGCCCTTTACCACCCGAATTATTTTTTTGAAAAATGCATCCAACCGCACTCACCATTGTCGTACAGCAGACTGATATCGACGTGATGAGTTTTGGTGTCAAGCGAAGGTTAGAGACATATTAAACATGTTTAAAATGACAATAGCACCTGTCACAAGTTTATTACCAATTGAGCTTATTTTGAAAGAGGACCGTACAGACCTAGAGGCCTTAAAAGCCCTTTCATACTTTAATAGACTTATTTAGATACTTCTCAGACTACGGGCTTAAAGTGAAACGATGCCTGCAGTTTAGCCGAATAAGGTGGCTAGATGTGCAACCATAACAGGCTGTATGGTTAGCAGCTTAATAATCCTACATCCAAAAGTAGTAGAGCCAATCTTATGCAATGATACTGACTATATATAAACGGACCAAAAGAAACAATCGAAGAAAGGGTTGAACTTACCGGAAACCTCTCGGAACACTAATAGCAAAAGTACCATCAGGGTTGACCGTATTTACACCATCCTCAAGATCATCCTCATCTTCGTCATCCTCACCACCAGAATGCTGATCTGAGGCGGATGTATCTTGATCTCGACCTCCCCTCTGACGCTGTCTTGTAGAATTCTCCTGCAGTCTACCTCCAAAGACACCCTGTCGCAAACTGCCGCCTTGAGCAGAAACAGAAAAAGGTATCCATTGCTGTGCTGGCTGCTGTTGAGTAGGCTGTTGATTAACATCACTCCATGCTTCTCGAATTTGGGTTGGTTGGAGGATGGGTTGAAGGTGATGCTGGAGTCCTGATCCTGCTGCCTGCATGGGAATGCCAATAGGAAAAGGAGTTTTCTTGGCTTGGGAGGCTTGGAGTTTTGCGCGACGAGCCTCTTCGCGGGCTTGTCTTTTCTCCTCCATCTCAAGCTCCTTTTGCTTGCGTCTCTCTTCACGGGCTTTTTCTTGTTGTTCTAGAAGAACAAGGTAAAATTATTGGAAATTAAATTGAAGAATTAGACTAAGGACACCAAAGGGCTAAGAACCAAATACAGATGTTCTATGAAAGCAATAAGAAAATCGATTGACAGCGAACTATAAGCCCTCATTAACTCAATGAAATTCTTATTTTATGTTCTATGCCCTTGCAGAGCTTAGTCAGCAAAGCCCTTAGTATGCAGCTTGGAAAGAATAAAGCATTGTGACGATTCTAGAACATCTATCTAATCCACAAACAAACGGATCTTATTCAGGCCTATAAAGAAAGCACAATCAAAATCGCAAGCTAACACAAACTAAGCAAAATGCGAAAAACAATCTGTATAGGGCAAGCAAATCACAATAGAAAAAAGGAAGGATTCAGGATGGAGAATTTATCAGGAAAGAAAACTTTGCAATTTAAATACGCATTTGATACGATGGAAATACGCCTAGAATGAAGAAATAGGAAGTATAAAACATTCAATCATTTTACAGTTTCGATGCTTCGCGTCTCGTTCAACGTGAACGAGAAAATGAAATATTTAGTGAATGAAAGATAACTTTAGGGAAATAGAATGAATACAAACAAGAGTTTGCGGTATTACTGGCACACTGCAAAAGGGCAGAATCCAACAATTGGCAAAAAAAGTAAGAAAAAAGGGATCATTTTCAGTTTTGAAAGAAATGAGTTGTGTATCATAAGAAAGAAGCCGACACAACCAAACTAACTAAGCTGAAGCACACATGTTTGCACTCAAAGCGAATCAATGGGGATATTTATTGAGGAGCTAAATCAGATCATTTAGTCATTTGTCGTGAAGATAAAAAGAACTACTCAAATTGATCAGTATTCCCAGCAAAATCAAATCTGATATAACGTAAACAGGGCCTCTGTAGTTCCAGTCGCAAATATAGAAAAGTTAAAAAAACAAATACTGCTCGTCAATGCCAAACTGGTCTATTGAGTCAGATGTCACTATATAGAAGTTTGATGAAAATTCAGTGACACGAACGTCAACACACCGAGTAAAAGAAAGCGAATTGCTCACAAGAACAGATTTAGATAAGCCATTGAAAAAAACTATGAGATTAGGAATCAGAGCAAACCCAATGAGCGGAATGGCCAACTAAAAAGATTAAATCAGGCGAACGTGGTGAAAGGATGCAAGGAAAAGAGAATGATGTTACTAACCAAAGTGAGCATTAAAAAGGGTTTCATAAATAAGTGGCTTAAAAACCATCATTATTAAAAAATTCAATTAGATGTTATGGCTTTACCAATAAATAAATTAAGATTGTACAGCGAATCAGGCCGTTAAAACTGATAAAATAGTCCAATAGTGGCATTTCATGCGAAACCACTTTATGGATTAGATGGCAGTGATCTAGACTTTGAACTTAGCTTACTAAATTGTAATCAAATAAAAAGAAAAAACCGGAAAATAAAAACATTCGAACATTAAACACCAATCCATTTGGTATGCTTTAAAAACTGCCTTGTCCGCAATCTGATACTCACTATCAGTAGTGAAATTGGACTTAAATAGGAATAAGAATTCACACAAATAAGCTCAAGTAAATGGTAGATCAAGTAGAACATAACTTTCACTAGGCACTGAGAATAAAAAAGATAATAGATTAAATATGGGTAAACAGCAAAAGGAAACTGGTCGATACTTTGGAATTGGTATTACACAGACAGAAACGTCATCCTGTAAAAGAATTTTGGGGTCAAAATGATATCCAATCAATTCTTTGGTTGAGCAAGTGGTATTCAGACAACAAAGTAGCAAATGGTATGTTTTATAAAAGTAAGTAAAACTACAAGTAAAGCAAATAAGGGTGTAAAGGATAATAAAGAGCTAACACTATGATTTTATTATTTTATCTCGAAATAAAAAAAGCATGCAATATAAGACAGTAGTATTAAACTAATTCCGACTTCAAGTAGAGCAAACTGCTTATGATTTCATCCTATGGATAGCGAGATAATCGAAATACTGATTTGAATACTATACAAGATTTAAGAGAAATTAGTCACTTTTAAAATATATCTACTAAGAAGCCTTTTATTTTAATTAATTAAAATGTAAATAGTCTAGATGACTAAATGGGATGTATTGGTAACAGAGAGAAGTACACCTGATATGAACAAAACAAAGCTACCGTGCATTAGCTCAAACATTAATACCCAAAGTTGCAATTAAAAATGGGGTCGATAATCATCATCATGAGATTTTGTACAAACTGATACTGGGAAAGCGTGCAATCCAAACTCTAACAGCACAAATTTATTTCGTGTCTTTTGTACGTTACACTACGAAAATAAACTTTATCAATGAAAAAAGGCAAATTCAAAGAATGAATATCTTAAAGAAGCGATTTTATCTAGAAACCAACGGTAAATAAGAGATCTAATTTGAGAAAATGAGAGTGCTCGCAAATATTAATGAATAGTCGAAAAAAAATTAAAAAAAAAAAACTATTAAATTCTATCATAAAAACATTTAAATCCCCAGGTGCATAGATGGGCTGTAATATTCAAAAAAATGAAAAATAGATTAAACAAACTCAACTCTTTCACACAAAGATTTAAACTTACCTTTCTTCTGTCTTTTTGCCTCAATTCCAATAGCTGGAAGATCATTAAAATCCAACAGTTTAATTTTACTTCCACGCTTATTAGCACCCACAGCTGTAGTGGAGGAATGAGAAGAGGATGAAGGAGCTGCAGCAGCATTTTCTCTACTCCCAGCATTAACCGTATTCGAAGATGAGGAAGGATTACTATTCGCTCCAATCAGTGATGGTCGTCGCGATATTGTGTCACCAGAATCACCACCATTTCTACCTACTGTCGCTGCTGTCGTCGATTTATTGCTAGTAGGAGTGGGCGATGCGTTAGCACCATGCATTGCAAGCAGCCTTGCTCTGGCAGAAGATCCTGGAACTGTGTTCTGAGCATTGCCACTAGAAATATCTCCGTCAATTAAATCCGCTTTTCGAGTGGCAGGAACAAGCCGAGGGAAACTCGGAGCACGTCTATTTTGGGGATTATTTGTTGCGCTTGTTGCTGTATCACCTGCTGCCTCGGATTTAGCGAAACTACGGCCAGGGATTGGAACATGAACACGACGCCTTTCGCATTCCTCATGTAATTTCTCTATATATACATCCTTCATGTTATTGGCAGGTGTCTGTCCTTTGATATTAAATCCAATGCAAGAGTTAAGGCAACCACTTTTGACATCTCCTGATTCTCGTGATTTTTCAATACCAATGGCTTTATTTGAAACCTTCTTACTAAAAAACTCCGACATTGGCAAAATATTAACCCAAGGAGTGTTGTACGAGCCAGCTTCAAGAAGTTCTTTAAGAGTTGAGGCGAACTCGTGGTTTGTATCGGAAAGGTCAAAGCACAAGCAATTGAGAGGCGATCGACATTGAAGTACCGTAGCCGCACTTCTTATGTATGAATTGTCATCAGCTAAGGCCATGTTTATCACCTTTTCAACAACTTCAGAAACCTAATGGTAAATATCAAAAGAATATAGATGCGAAAAAAAATAAAATAATGAGAAAGATATTGAAAATAAACTCCACATCAGCAGTAATACAAACACAACATAAAAGGAAGACAGATACGAAAGCATGAAAAATAGATAAAGAAAATGGCATTTCAAATTTAAATAAAGGCTGTTAACCAATAAACAACATACTCCTTCGTCCAAAGGTGTGCTAGAATTCGCAAAAGTGAAGATAACAGCAGACTTAGACTTGATGTCTAAGTTGCTAAATGATTCAGCGATTTCCTGCAACTTTGACATAGGGAATTTCGAAAGGTCACACTTTCTGGACCAATTATTTTCCCAGAAATGCTGTCTTATGAACTTCGGCAGATCAGCCATAGTAATCCACACATAGGTTGAAAAATGCTCTTATTAATAAAGCAAATTAACAAATTAAAACATACTTTGGATTTGATATGACTATTTTCAATGAGAGTGTTGAAGTTAAAATTCTATTTCTGGAAATTTAATTTCACTTAAAAGATTTTTGTTTTAATAATTTATGTTAGTTTTTGTTTTAATTAATCTCTTAATATGTAATCACAAGCAAAAATGGTAAAAATTTCATATTTTATATTGGGTTTCTCGCATTATCTTTATGTGCCATTAACGTTAGGAATAATTGAAAGTGTTAAAACTATTTCATGTTTACCTTCACTGTAATCATGAAATTTAAATATAATAATGAATCCTTATTATTTGTAAACGGAAGCTTATATGGGCCTTTTTGTTTTCCGAAATCTAATTTATGTCCAGCTACTGCGTAATCCTTAAAACAGGAACCAAATTTTGAATAATTTATAATTTGCTCACACCCTATTACTTTTTCACTATATGTAAATCTATTTTACCATAAACTGTCTTTCTGAGCCACTCTTCCTGCAAGGATAAGAGATTCTCGCAGCAGCAGTTCCAGGAGGTCTTCCCTCTTGTGAAGTTAGGGGCTAAGAAAACTTCTTCTAATAAATTTGGTAAGTCTAGCGTAAATAATTGTGCAGTCTGTTTCTCAACATCAATGGAGGCGAAGAAATTCTTGAATTATTGGCATTAAGAGACGATAAGGAATATTGTAAATAGTTATTTATGTCAAATGGCAGGCGTTTTGATGGTTATCATTGGCCCTTTAGTTGACTACAGGCTTCACAGAGGGGAAGGAATATCAAAGTGAAAAAAGTCGAGAGGAGGGGAACTGAAGAGTATTTCAAAGACGAAGGTTGAAAATTTAGAAAAACTGTGATGTAGTACTGTGGAAGTGGTCTAATATGTCATACAGGGGGGCCTTGGTAGTTTGAAGTCAACTGCCGGTTTATAGACTTTTTTTGCCATATGAGTATATGTTGTCCAGGGTGCACCACGTGGAGGTAAATCTATCACACACCCCATATAGTGAATATAATAATGAATAACTGAGTGGTAGCTGAACCCATGGATACGATATTGTGGGACACTTCATCGCAATCGCGCACACTAGGCTTAAGGTGCGACCGTGCAACCTCGCACGAGGTTTGTTTGCGGAGAAGCACAGCCAATGATTAATAGAAAGCCTGCGTTTGTTTTTTGAATTCGACCATTTTGTATGAGTAGCTTTTCCTCTTGAGCACCATTCGCCATCCTTATCGCGTGAATAAATGTTTGAGTGATATGGCTCTTTCTTCTGGAAGACTCGGTAAATAGGAGAATCTATCGTAGAGGTTTCTGAGACTGAAGTCAAGGCTTTACTAAGGTAACAATCCGCTACAATATTCGTGGCTATCACTAAACGGGACGTTCTTAACTTAATAAAGCT